GTCTCCTCGCTGGCTGCCATGGAGGAGTTCCACCTCAGCCTCTCGCAGTGCGTGGTGCTGCGCTACCACTGGATAGACCCCTTCGTCCGCCGCCTCCGGGAGCGCCTGGCCTCCTTCGACAGGTGGGGACGGCGGAGCCCCGGGAGAGCGCTCCGCACACCCTTCCCTCTCCCTCGGCTCGGAGTTGCACCAGCGTCCGCACCCCTGATCGTCTCTGGGAGCTGGTGCTGCACCGTGGGTGCTCAGCTGGTGCTGAGCCTTGGGGAGCTTCCCGCTCTGCCTCGGGGTCCGGCACCAGACAAGTCGGGTCTCGGCTTTCAAGGACGAGGCCGGAGCTGTGCCATCCCATAAACCACCGGTGGTTTCATTGCTTACATCTGGCTCAGGCGCCTGCTGAGCACCAGCTGCTTCAGGGCTTCTGTCGCCGTCCGGGCTTCAGAGGGCTGGAAACCGGGGGGGAGGAATGGATTAATTTGAGCCCAGAAGGGCTCTGGTTGCACTAATTTGGTGCAATTGTGGCATGCATTTGCCTTTATCTTTCCACAGCTTGGTAGAAACCCTGTCCCCTCCTCATCTTCTGGTTTTATTTTTCTTGGTTTTTTTTTCCCGTGAGCTGAAATAGGATCTTTCTTATTTCAGGTTCTTCTGCGTGGCTGACCAAGTGAAGGTTTACACCAACCAGAATAAAACCAGGTGAGCAAGCAGCCGGGCAGCCTGCCTGCCTGGGGAGGAGGCTGGGCAAGGGGCTGGGTGGATGGGAAGCGTCACCCTGCCTGTCCCACAGTGACCGGGCTGAGCCGTGTGACAGAGCGGTGCGACGGAGCAGCACGCGATCACCTTGTCTCTAGAGGCTTCACACCTTTCCCCAGCCACTTGCACAAATTTTTAGCTTCAGTGCTGATTCTCTGCAAGCCATTGGTCTCATTTTAGTAGTGGGTGAACCTCAGGCTGCAGGATTTCAGTCTTCTGAAGAGGAGAGATCTGTGCACAACGTGACCTGAGGCAGGGCTTTCTGCTGGGGTTAGAGTCATGCTATGGTTTCACAGCAGCTAAAGGAGGCAGCTGCGTTCACTGCTGTCTCCCATCTGGTTCGTTCTGCGGCTTTGCAGCAGCCTGGGGCGAGCGGAGTGGGGGGCCGCCTCTTTTGGCAGCAGTGCCGGTCGTGAAATTGTAGTGCAGGTCTTCCAAGAGCTGGAGAGAAACAGCTTAGATGGTGCTAATTCTCCTGGGTGTCAGCTCAGAAGCCTGATTCCAGTTGAACACAATTAAGTAGTTTAAATGTCAAAGCAAAGGTGATTAAAATTGTGAGAAGTTGATGAATCTAGCGGGAATGTCAGCCCACAATAGTCATGGGCGGGACGAAGCAGATCCTAGGTGAGACTTAAGTCTTCCCCTCCCCTCCTGGATTCTAGAAAGCATCATCCCAGACAGTCCTTGAGGAGGTATCTCCTTGTCACGTCTCTCCAGCTTGGTACTTCCCGTTCCCCGCTTCCTCTCCCACCACAAAACCCCTCCGGCAACTTCCGCTTTTTGAGTGCAGCTCCTGCAGCGGCACGCGCTCTGCTGAAATACCCATCGGGTGCATCCTTTACCTGGAAAACGAGTTTTCATGTCCCAAAAGGTGCTGAGTTTATCTAGTAAACCTCTGTGGTATATCATCCAGTCCTGCCTCTCCCTGCTACCACATGTTTATTTCTGTTTTTCAGAATATGGTTAGCATCCTTGAATGATTAAGCCTGGCATTCCTCAAATTATCTGTTGTTAGGGGGTAGGGGATTTGCCTGGTAGGAACGCTGGGCTAAGGATGTTTACAGCTGTGCTTTCTGCGGCACGGAAGGGTGCTTGCTGTCTCTCTTTGTCTTTCTTTAGGACTTTTATTGGCTTGGAGGTCTCCGCCGGGCATTTCCAACTGCTGGAGCTGGTCTCAGAGGTGGACAGGGTTCTGGAGGAATTTGACCTTCCCACGTTCTACAAGGTGAGGTGTCTCCCACTTACTTCCCAGCCTGTCCAGAGATGCCAGCTGATTCCTTGTGAGAGGCCCACGAAATGGTCACCCCGAATAAACAGGAGTGGGGAGGTTAGACTCTGAGATGGTCTCCTCTGGGCTGGTCAGCGATGCTTAAACCTAACACCCTGAACACGATCTTGCTGAGAACGGGACTAGCACAAGTCTATGACTTCTGTATCGCATCTTGTGCAGGAGAGTAAGGATGTTAACTGTCTGGTGGCCTCGTGAGAATCAGCTTTCCAGGGTGAAGGGCTGGACCATACGTCACGGTCACCGCCCTGCTGTGCACGGAAGCAGGGTTGCCCTAGGATAGAATGGGCTTAGGGTGAGCACTGTGGGACTCGGGGCGATGCTTGTGCCTCATCCTCGGGTAGTTTCTTGGAGCATCGGTCCAGCCTCGTTGCTTGGTACTAGGTTTGGGGACAGGTTTTGGATTTTGAAGGGCCAAACCCTGATTTCTGTGTCTCCAGAACTGAGCAGGGGGCTCTTGTGGGTTATTCAGACGTGACCCACGTACCTGCTCCAGGACTGTCCGTGAGAGGTTTTCCGTGCGGCTGGAAAAGCGGCGGCAGAGTTGACCACAGGGAGGCTGGGAACCAGGCAGCCTTGCCCACTGGTCCGAAAAGACTGGGGTGGGGAGCCCAGGAGTCCTCTCACCTCCTGCATTGTCCATATCGGCTTTGGAACTGTTGAGCTGGCAGAGGGGGCTCCCAGCTTTGGGATCCTCCTGCCTCTGCCGATCCCAGGCAGGGCAGCATCACACCAGATCTCCCACTGCGGCTGTGTGCGTTGAACAAAGCTTCCTTTAGCCCTCACGATCTGATCCCTGTTTTGTCTTCAGGACCCATCGTTCCATATCAGCTTGGCCTGGTGTGTTGGGGACCTGTCGGGCAGGCTGGAAGGGCAGTGTCTGCGGGAGCTCCAGGTGCGTCCCCGCGCAGCGTGGAGAGCCGGGGAAGAGCAGAGCTGGTGTCCAGCCATGTCTCCCTGCTGAGGGCAGAGAGTGGGAAATTCTCTTCACTGAGCAAGACAAACTTCACTGGGTTGAAAGAAGAGCAGCTTTTGGGGGGAGCATGAGTTAAATCACCCTCCAGAGGGAAGTCAGAGGCTTCCAGCCACAAACAGCCTCATCTCTGACTTGGTTCAGAGAGGGAGCTGCCGACTCTGTCTTCTGGCAGATCTGCCCGCCTGGTACTGACTCCTGCAATCTGTTTTCCAGGACATCGTGGACGGGTTTGAGGACTCGGCGCTCCTGCTGCGTGTCCAATGGGAGCAAATCCGCTGCAAGTCTGGGAACAAGTACTTCTCCTTCCCCTTGAGGTAGGGTCCGGTGGGGCTGTGCATTTCAGAGCCTCCAAGACCCTGAAGTTCAACCAAGGACCGTTCTGCAGCGCAGCTCTGAGTGATGCAGGCTGTCACGCACCTCCCACGCTCTTCTTGCCTGCTCAGCGTGTCTGGGGTGTTTATGGCCTCAAGTCGGGCTACTTCCAAGTTTGAGTTGCTGGCTGAAGAAATGTGTGTTTGTAGCAGATTTCATCCTTGCTGCTGTATGTGCTGCAGTCAGCACCGGCGGTTTCAGCCGTCCCACGGTCACTAATTCTGCTGATTTTTTTTTTTTAAAAACAGAAAAAAAATCTCTATAAAAGCCATAGATGCCTTATGGGAAGGAGGAAGAAGGTAGCGTGGGAAGCTGTTGCTAAAGGGAGAGTGTCTCACACGGTTGGAAATAGCACTGCCTGATTGTCAAGAGGCTCTGAGCATGCTTTGAGCATCAAGATGCAAGGACATGGAGCTGGACTCTCTTGCCAGAGCATCTCCCTGCTGTAAACCAGCTCGGACAAGTTCCTGGGTCATGTTCTGTGTCCCTCACACTGCTGCTCCTCTATAGAGAAATGCCAGTATCTGATCCTTTTGCCAAGGAGCAAAAGTTAAATCTGGAGGGGAGAAGTTGGAAACCCCTTGTGTTCCAGTGCTCCAGGCTGGGTCTAAAGGAAGAGCTTTGCTTTAAGATTGCGTGTGCCATGAGCCCGGGACTGTTTTGGTGGGCTGTTTCTCCCGAGAAGCTTGCCGCCATGTGTGGGCGAGCCCAAGAGAGGGCAGTGTCAGCTTTTGCCTGCGCTGGAAGGGCTGTGCCCACGGGTGGGTCAAGGGGTGGCAGCTCCTGCCCAGGCTCCACGCTGTTCCCCCGTGGGAACAGCACCCCTGGTGCCATGATGACCCTGGGGACGGGGCGGGCTGGACTTTGTCCCTTGGGAGAAGCTCCTTTTAATCCTTTTGTTCCTGCAGCGGGGTTGGCTGCAGCCTCTCACGTATTCAGAGCAGGACGCTGATGTGCTGCCCTGAATCTTTCATTCCACGCCAGTCTGGTGAAAGACTCGGGACTTCTGAGCAGTAAAAATCTGTCTCCTTGTGTCATTAAAATGTTTCCGTGGAATATTTTAACCATTCCCATTTCAGATGTGCCCAGGCCCCCCAGACTTCAGATGAGGCGATGCCTGCAAGTGGTTCTGTGAGCTCAGTGCTGCACTGCCCGACCTTGCACACGAGCGAGCCTGGGGGCTCCGCGGCCGTGGGAGCATCTCGGCACAGGTCCTCATGTCTGCCAAGACCCCTGCGAAAGCTGGTTTTCAAAATCCTTAACAAAATTCTGTTAAGTCTGTAGCCAGTTGGCTTCTGGGACGGGGATCTGCGCTATCAGGCGTGCAGTTACACCCTGAGTTTTCTTTGGGGGAAGGAAAAACAAACAAAGATATATTTAGCCCCTGGGGACTTCTGGTGAAACGGGCTCTGGCACGACCGGTTTCCCCGTGGTCCAAGCCCAGCAATGCCAGGTTAATGCACAACCCGTGGCCCTGCTCCCTCCTCGGCACGGCCCGGCTTGGCACATCGCCCTGTTTTGTAACTCCG